CTATCTCATTCTGTGCACAAAGGTTATGCGTATTTTGATGTATGGTCGCCGTGCAATTGACTGATAAAATACACATAAAGATATGGTTTGTGCACATAAACTGTATTATTTTTGTCCTGCTCAGTGAAATGCTGTGTAAGGGCACAAAACAGGAATTAGTCATCAGCTGTTCATTTGTTTAAACCTGAAAAGTAAAGATGTGTTTTCATGAACATGTCAAAATGAACAAAACGGAATCTTATTCCTTCCATTTCCTCTGTGGGATAAAAAGTGAACAGTAATTCAACCTCATTAGCCCTTCAAAGAGCAGAGCAGAGTTTAATCAGGACTCTCAAAGATGTGAGTCCCATATATGTGAATGTGACTGTACAGTTAATTTAATGCATATATCCGAGGCTGTCTATTAACAACAGGACTTTTTTATATATAATTTTCTCCTGCAGTGGGTGAATGAGCACAAAATCATGAATAAGGACAAAGAAAAATATTCATAAACCAAGTTCATATTGTTTAATACAACCATAATTTACAATTTGTATTGTAAACACTTCAAATTACTTGATTGAATTAGTTTTTTTGAAAGAAGATACATTAGTGTCATTCAGCAAGGTTGCATTAAATTGTTAAAAAATAAGAGTAAAGACATCTGTAATGTTACAAAAGATTTATATTCAAACACATGCTATTAAATAAAAAATGTATCACAGTTTCCACAAAATTAATTAAGCAGCACAACAGTTTTCAACATTAATAATAATAAGAAAGTTTTCTTGAACACCTAATCAGAATATTAAAATTATTTCTGAAGGATCATGTGACACTGAAGAATGGCGGAATGGCTGCTGAAAATTCAGCTTTACTATCACAGGAATAAATTACATTTAATAATGAAATTTGTAACAGTAAGTGATGAAGCCACAGATGCATAACCCTTTCTTGTCATAGTGTCTACCAGAATGTGCTGGAAAAGGAGACCAGCCAAGCTTGGGTGTGCAGTGATTTATAACCGTGATTGTCTGCCAGACTGATGTCTGAGGTCTTGTGAAGCCCTCGAGTGGTGAGATGAGGTAGTGTAGGTGTTAAGATGCAAATGACTAAAGCCATGAAACTCACCTCTCACCTCTGCCATGCAATAAACACTTAAGATTAAATAGACTTCATTCCTTTAGAGCTAGTGAATCTCTGTGTGATGATATTCCTTCAAATAATTGTTAAAATGTCAATAAATCGCCCATCAAGCAACAAATTTGACATCACTCTTTTCGCTTGATTTTACACTTGAAGGCATTGAGCCTTGTTCACAGTGATGAGTCTTTTTTACAGGCCTCTCCATCCCTCTGATGAAGCACTTCGCCCACTTCTATTTATAGCAGCAAGAGCGGCATGATTGATTATTCAACCTGACTCAGATTCTGCCTTCTCATGAACTGTTATTCAATAACCATGGGTAAAATTAGACATTACCATCCTGAGGGGACAAATGGCACAGAGCAAGAGTGAGATTGTAGAATGTATGGGTGTAAATTTGACAAACTTCTGCATCCTGCACAGCTGGACAGCAGTACCTGGATGTGTAGCTAACATGAAGCAGCACTTCCTCTATTTCACCCATCATTGCAGAAACCGCTACAAGAAAAAAACAAGGCACAGACAGACATAAAAGAGACTGGAGTTAATAGTTACCTGTGCTGCACCAATGTCTAATCATGCCCAATTATCAGTATAAAAATATAAATTCCCATTGCCAAAATGACAACTGCATAATCACCTGGCCCGTTTGTTTTCCTTTAAGCTATCATGGCAATAAATTATATTGGAACAACTGGGGTGATTAACTTCTGACAGTATCCTAACTGTAT